CATAACTGGTTAACCTCAACTTCAGAACTCAACTGTACTCACTTGCACCCTGCCCTACAAACGGCTCCTGCACAATCGCTGCACCACTCGACGATTCGCCAAACACAACTTCAGACACAATTGCATTCTCCTCAAAGACCGTCCTGCAGCCAACACAGAAACCGTTGCCTCCCGCTGCATCGTATTCTATGTGATCGTTCCACCACAGTCACCACACACTGTCTGTTCGAATTCATTTCAGCATTGTCATTCACAAGTAAAAGAAGCTTTGAGGGAAGTATACCATTTTCAGTCAATAAAAATTTAATAAAGATAAGCTGGGGTATCTGAGAGAACAGAGGGAGAAGGAGATGTGATAAAGTCGGTGTATGCGTGGGAAACACCTAACGCATTTTGATTCAGCTGCCACTTCGCCAAACTTTAACATTAACTCGTCCCTTCCTTCTGCTACACAAAAAAAAACACTATTAACGTTTTTTGAGGATTAACGTTAGCCCCTGATGGCCCACGAGTCAAGACTAACAAAGGTAAAAACAAGCTCAAGAGCAATAAACTCGAACGGTACGTTTTTTTCTCTCACTTCTCACCGTTCCGAAGTAACTTGCTTACGTTAACCAAACCAGTCTTCAATCGATTTCGGCTGCATCCGCTGCGAAAAAACTTCAAAAGTCTCGCGTGGAAGTTCATAGATCGATATCGCTACCAGTGTACCATTAAAAACGCTCAGGGGTGGTGTTTTTGCGATGTTTCTCGTCAACATCTATCTTTTTGCATCCTTTGGCCTCTCAGTGAAGCCCACTGAGACAATGAACGTTCAATCCGTCCATTCGTTCGTAAGTCCACTTTCCTTTCGCATCCTAGTTCAACACATTAATAAGGATTTAGGATGAGTGTGCTAGAGCTTTCCAAGTTATCCTCTGCGATTATTCAAGGGCGAGCCCACCTCGTTCTTGTCTCTGACTGGTCCAACACCAGCGCTAGCCGATTGCGTATTTGACGAAAGCTCGGCATGGATCGTGGAAGTCTGCAAACCTGGTAACTTTCTGAGCTGTTGTGCAGGACCTTCCCTCCCGTCGGATCTTAAGCTCGGTTCCATGAGTCACCATATGGTAGGCTTCAGTGATTCCGTGACATCGCCTCGTCGGTGAGCGACGTCAGCAATAGGATTAGCATATTATTGTACTGAATTTATTTTATCAGTCCGAATGCTTATGAGTTTCCAATAATTTTCGCATTCATCGCGACTGTAGCTTGCCCCGATGAAGAGATCCCTTGCGGTATTGAAACAGAGCGAGTCCATCCGTGAGTGGCGTTTCATTCCCTATCCCGGTAGTGTGTTTATTAAATATGAATAGAAGATGTGCACTCCAGGTGTCTTTGACTAATCTTCTCACCTTCCGCGGAAGTGTACGGATCTTCTAACTTGGAGAATTTCTGGGATGGCTGAGACTCTCTATTGTTGTCTCGCATATAATCTTCTTGGTGTCCGTTTCTGAAGGGCACTTCAAGCAACCGGATTATGAGGAGGCTTGACTGATCTCGGAAGATCAGCAAGCCAAAAGCTGACGCTGAATTTGGCATCGCTTTTATATTATTACATGGAGAAGGAAGCCATGGCCGTACAGGAAGTGTGAAACAGAGAGAAAATAAAGAGGAAATAAGAGATACAATACAGAAACAAGTTCAAGTACAGAGCGGGCCGAGAGCAAGCACTCGCGGAAGGACGAGGAAGGAGCTAGGGTGCGGTCGCGGAAGCGGGACAGCGGAAAGCAGGGACAAACGTGCCGAAAGTAATGAAGGGCTATCACCGACGTTGTTGTATGGACTCCCGACAATATCGTTCAACTCGCTGTTGCATTGGAGGACGCTGTCGAGTTGCTGATATACACTTCGGAAGACTCGGACAAACGGCGGATAGCGTTGGAGAGGCATTATCTAGCAGGAGCAGACGCTCAGCTGACGATGGTCGATTCCGAAGGTAGTGGACACATTACCGACATCCCGGACTAAAAAGAAGACAGACACAAGAAGCCAGGAGGACGAGATGGCCCACTTTGCGGTTCGTTACCGTAATCGAGGTGTGGAATGATCTCTTGATCGTACGCATTTTCCTCTGGACGGCTGTCGAGATGAACGATAAAAATACGAGACCTCTAGGCTTGGTTGGATACGTTCGTGACGCTGAAGACTGTATGGAGCCGCTTCTTTTGGTGACATCCATATGAACTATCTAGCGCTTTCTGTCTCCTCACCACGCTAGGGAGTTGAAAGTCTTGAGACGGAGTGTGACGGAGGAAGAGATGGAGGGCTGGGAGCCCTTGATCTTCTTCTGTCAACGGGGATGGAAGGAACCAAGACATCGTCCTCGCCCTCGTCCTCGTCCTCACCCTCATCCCGAACGTCCATCAATTCGTCCGGTGGCTCCGCTTCCTCCATCGTTCCCGGAAGAACGATCACAAGGGATCTATCAATCGATTGGACGTCCACTGATTGGGCCCGCGGCGTTCCTACGGGCGTTGAGCCGACCGATTCGTTTCTATCCCTATGGGACCCGTCACGTCCAGTCGTCAACTCCGGCGTACTCCGGTTACTGTCAAATCGGAACGTGTTTCCGGTTGCCAGTTCATATTCTGGCATCAGCAGACTCCAATCCCGAGGCGGAGGAGTATCCCAGAGGTAAACTTCCTCTTCATCTTCTGTTTTTATGAGAGTGAAGTCTACCTCA